TCATATCATTGAAGAGCCATTTTGCGTCCAGCTTTGGCAGCGGCGGGGTCTCCGCTGCTGCTGATGATGATGAAGCTGACACCTTGGCGCGCTGCTGTGCATAGAACGCAGTCCAACGCGCGGGGTCGTGTAGGTCGGCATCGAAGCCGGCGTAAAAGGCATCATCCAGCGGGATCTCACCGCGCTCCAAACGGTGCCAAAACCCGTTTGGGGCCGTTTTGGAGATGGAATAGTTTATCCATCCTGGTGGGACGCCGAGGCTGAGTTCGTAGTCTAGAATGGACTGGAAGGGGGAGACTACCTACATGAACTCGCGTTAGTATGGGTTGATAATTCCGAGAGAGTGCAAAGGGGGATGGATCCTCACTCACACAGACGCCTCCTATGTCGAATAAGAGGACTTTGGGGGCTGGTTGGGCTTTCATAATTGCAGTGATGAGAGCATGCGCATATTACCCTGGCTACCAAGGAAAAGCTTGAAAACTACATCTAGAGTAAATGTGTGTGTAATTCTCACTCCTGCGACAATATTTGATACGATGCTAAAAGGAAGATAAAAAATATCAGCAAACAACTCTGGGGGTGTCGGAATCCCCTTATCGATCGAGGAGAAGAGAAGCCTCGGCTCTTCAATGTCCTCTGGGGCCTGGCCGCCTGGGCTCCTCAGAAATCAGAAAGTCAAGAATGAAGTGGTCTGTGCATCGAGGGCGGGTGGTGGTGGGTGGGTCCCGTTCGTCGCCCACCACAGTTCAGTTCTGGCTCAGCCGGACCCCACCAAGCTTTGCCAGGCCAGGGTTGGTTCAAGCGAATTTTCGCCCACATTCAATTCAAAAAAATAAATTGCTAGTGCTGCTTCAGCTTCACTTCCTCCGTCACCAACTCCCACCTTCCCTCCAACAACGTGCTGATACCCGTCGCCAATCAGCCAAATCAGTCAATATGGTGAGTCACCTCCGCAGCACTGTTCAATGGCAATCCTCATGAACGATACTTTTTGCGACAATCGAAAGAGAGAAGAGAGAAAGAGAGAGAGAGTCCTTGCAAGATGCTTCGGATTGAAAGATCAAGAGGAAAAACAATAATCTGAAGCGCAAATTGCTGACTCGAGGGTATCATGACAGCCTTTCCACAAGTTGGTCAAGAACAGTGCCTACTACAGGTAAGTCACCCATCTCCCCGCCTATATCCATCTGTCTGTCTGTATCTTCCCGCGGCGACATCCACTAACAAGCTTTCATTTCAACAGCCGGTACCAAACCAAGTACAAGCGCAGAAGAGAAGGAAAGACCGACTACTATGCCCGTCAGCGATTGATCAAGCAGGCCAAGAACAAGTACAATGCCCCCAAGTACCGAATGGTCGTCCGCTTCACCAACCGCGACATCATCACCCAGATCGTCACCTCGGAGATCGGTGGTGACAAGATCTTCGCCGCCGCCTACTCCCACGAACTGAAGGCCTACGGTATCGAGCACGGTCTTACCAACTGGGCTGCCGCCTACGCCACTGGTCTTCTCCTTGCCCGACGTGTCCTCAGCAAGCTCGGCCTCGACAAGACCTTCACTGGTGTTGAGGAGGCTGATGGTGAATTCACCCTCACTGAGGCTGCCGAGGGTGACGATGGTGAAGAGCGCCGCCCCTTCAAGGCTCACCTTGATGTTGGTCTCGCCCGAACCTCCACCGGTGCCCGTGTCTTCGGCGCCATGAAGGGTGCTTCTGACGGTGGCATCTTTATCCCCCACTCCGAGAACCGATTCCCCGGTTACGACATGGAATCCGAGGAGCTCGACGCCGAGACTCTCAAGAAGTACATCTTTGCCGGCCACGTCGCCGAGTACATGGAGACCCTCGCCGATGATGATGAGGAGAGATTCAAGAGCCAGTTCCAGGGCTACGTTGACGACGATATGGAGGCTGATGCCCTTGAGGAGCAGTACTCCGAGGCTCACTCAGCTATCCGGGAAGACCCCTTCAAGAAGCCCGAGGGTGAAGGTCCCAAGAAGAGCAAGGACGAATGGAAGGCCGAGTCCAAGAAGTACCAGACTCCTAAGTCCACCAAGGCCGAGAAGGAGGAGAGAGTCAAGACCAAGATTGCCGAGCTCCAGGACGAGTAAAGTACCAGGTTTACGGGAAACAAAAAGGGGTTAATCACTTCATGCCGCATTTATGGTTGACTTGGGTCCGGAGTTTGATAGGCAAGGTTCATCTGTGACTGGCAAATAAATGAATGAATGAAGCTTGCGCCCTGAGAATGACTGTTCATCGTGACTTGTGTAAATGGGTCGGCTGGCGTATCGGCATGCTTGATACTATTAGTGACGAAGCTCTGCATATATCGTGTAGAAACCTCGCGGTCTGCTTCTGCTTCCTGCGTGAACCTAGGGCTGTCAGTCGCACAAATCCAAACGAAATAATAGTTAACCGCATCATATTTAGTAGGAAGAGAACCACCTACGTGAGGTATAGATATCGGTACCTCTTGCATCTCTACTGAACGACTATCTTCTCGTTCAATTCTGGTGTGTTCCGACGACTGTAAGAGGCGTGGTTTGTCACATCCAACGGAGGTCCGCGTGAGCTTGAACTCCTAGTCAATGATGATTTCCAATACGTGGTTCGAAACCGACCGACTCCATAGCTCCGAGTTCACTCTATTCCCCGTGACTCAACAGCGCGTGTATTGGAGACCCCGCGGACACCCCTTTGACTCTTCAGACGATGATGGTGTCGAGGGAGAAGCGCGAAAACGTGTACCACTCCATTCCATAAACCCCTTTCTTCTTTAGCAGTGCGCATGCGCTCTATGAGTTAGTTGCACGAATGTATTCTCTATGGCTATGGGTGGTCAATGACCCCAGGTAAGTAGGCAGTGGCCCGAGTATTCTTACCACAGAAGTGATTGATGTCTTCTTTCACCAGAGCGGGCATGGGAACGCCGTGTGAATCACAGACTACCTAGGTAAGTACTCAAACAAATCACTCGATTTAGACTACTCGTCTTTCCTTGAGATCACCACCTGACCTTCATCATGACACGGTCAGTCGGACTCGACGAGGTACGTATGCCACTTCACTTGGTGTGGTTTGGGGGGAAAGAAAAAAAATTCTTTATAAATACAACGGCCGTGGCACCCCTCGAGGTCTTCTTATTCTTCTTGTTCTTCTTTCTTTTCGAGTACTACTTACCAAAAAACAACAGGAAAGGACGACCTCGCCAGTAGGAGGAGATAATACGAAAAAAAAGATCTTGCTACGATTATTTAAGTTCTCTTTATCTGTCTCTATCTATCTATTCCACGATAGTTACCAAATACCTCGCTTCTCCTGCTACGTACTTACTTATATACGCACGCATCCACGTATCTATCCGCCGTCCATCCACCCGCACCTCACAATACTCCAGCTAGCTACCTATCTTGCCGCTATCGAAGCCACACCACCAACCACAACAGCGAACAAACAAATAAACAATGTCCTACGTCTACCCACCCCAGCCTAACGCCACTGTCTACCGGTACGTCGGCACCGTCTATCCACCCGCTCAGCAGCAGCAGCCGCCGCAACAAGCCCCGGCGTACGTCGTGCCGGCGCAGCCCAACGCCACCGTGTACAGATACGTCGGGACCGCGTACCCACCGGCAACGGCCGTACCTGTCGTCCAGGGGCCGGTTCAGGGGTACACGGGGTATATCCCGTATGGACCGCATAATCGGTATATGCGGCGTTGGTATTAGGGTTTTGTTGTGTGGGATTGGGGGTGAGATGAGGGAGGGGGGAAGGAAGATGAGGGGGATAAATAGGGGAAAGGGGGAATGAGGGAAGAGGGAAGAGAGAGAGGGTGGGTGAATGGGGGATGAAAAGGGGGGGGGGGGGGGCAGGGGGGGGGGGGGGGGGGGGGGCAAGCGTGTAATAAATAAGCCTTGGGTTTTGCTGTTCTCGAGGTGGTGATAGGTCGGATATCATTATGAAAGGAAGAAAAGGGAAGGAAAGGTTGGGGTGCAGCTGTTTCTTTTTTCGGATGAGTATGTTTTGTAAAAGCTTCTTCGCTATGATGGATGCAGTATCCTACCTATCCAAGTAGGATGTGGGAAATGGAGAAACGTTAGATACCACCCCTTGGAATCTTTTATGACTGACTGCTATGTAAACTGCGTCGTTGTATGTTCTGATGGTTCTTGGGGGATCTCGGCTTTGAGGCTTGCGAAAGGGGAAAAGGGGTCGGTCATGTTCAAGTGAGTCCCTGGCACCTCGGCGTCATAATCTACTTGCTTCAAAATCCAAATTCCCTGGGCACGCCGACTTATATTATCTTTAATCATCCACATAAATCGGTGTCGGCCGGGTCAGCCGTAGGATTATTCGGCAGAGCAGCCTCTGGGATAAGAGATGCGAGGGTGAGGGTAAAAGGAAGGGGGAGCCGTTTATTTCTTGGTAAATATCCTAAATATTGCGGTCTGTACATGAGTCGAGCGCCCCTACCACTAAACGTGAATAATTTCATACATCTAACAAGGAAATCTCGTTCATATATACCCCCCTAGCTTCACAGCCTTCACATTTTGCTATCCTAGTTGAGGTTCTCGGCGTTCATTGATTCAGGGGTCGAGAGCAGCGGGCGGGAATCCTAAGCAACGTACTAGTACGTAGGTGGTCTATTAACAAAGACGCGTTCTGCCGAAACCTGAGCTGGAGCAGAGCAAGTCATTTATCTGATGTCTTTCTACATCTGTTTTCGATCTCGACGTTCCAATCAGGGCAGACTTTGGAGGCGTAGGCATTTGGTCAGGTATCAATCACATGGTTGACTGGCTGGCAGCAATGTGCACCAACAAAAAAAGGAGGCCGCCTAATAACGATATCCTAACACTTCTTGCCATTATGACAAGCTTTAACAGAAACAGCTCACAATAAAGGGATTGAATTTTTTTTTTTTAAAAAAAAAGAGAAAAAGTAACAACAAATAGCCTTGTCAAATTATCTGAAAGAGATATGAACTCTAATGCTGCAACGGCGAATCGAACGCCGACCCCAACTTCTCTCATATGGAAGAGTTGGATCCTAACCATTAGACCATTGCAGCTGATGACAAATCTTGCGTAAACAGCATAGAGTACTTAGCTGTAGGAATTCAAGCCTATGGCATTTTCAACATGATGCACAAACTGTCAGTTTTAATGTCGGGTGCTTTTAATTTTTCTTCAATGTGGGCTGTTAGGGCTACATAAAAGTTAGCTGTGGGACAGTTGTTAGTAGAGCTGTGACGACAATCTTGGAGCGGACATTATTCAGCTAGCAGGTCATCTGACTAGCCTCGTGCTCGGTCACTTGCTCACTTCCAAGGTTGCTCGCTTCCAAATAGGAGAGAAAGCCAGAGAATCGCATGAGAAAGTGCTTATTATTCGGCATGTAATCGATACCTACATAGGTATCTTCACCTTATGAAACAGCTCAAGTCGGTATATGTTATGTTTGGGAAGCAACACATGTATACACAGGCCTGGAAGTCTGTTGGAAGTATAGGTATAATCCCCTGGCACATGTAGAGCCTTGAGGGTGTGAATAACATGTCCTGCTCTCGAATAACACACCGTCTATTCACATGAAAGGCCAGTCTATCAAGATGTTGATGGTGCAAATCTATGGGAGAGATAGGTAGTTTATGCTAAGTCACCTGTATGTACCTACACTAGCGGACTAGATTCGGGTACTCCTTGAATTGCCCCCTCTTTTGATTTGGCCTGTCTGACGTCGTGGCTCAGGAGCTCGTTCAGAGACAGATTGTACCTCGAAATGGATACATGCATGCATGGATATGCCCATATCAAGACCAAGACCAAGACCCAGACCCTGATGATGATTCCAACCCACTTGATGTCGATATCGTACCAGCAGCAAGCGGTGGCCTCATCGTTAACAACATCCACATCCACGGATGCACTACCACCTAATTAAGTAATACTACTACCCGGACTGCGCGCAATAATCGCAGCCTCTAGGTATTCGTTCAATGTTCTTACTGATTAATCGTATCAGATCCATGCGAAGTCAATTCACAGTACTATTCTACGGTGGTGCTGAGATGACCCCCCCACATTATTCCTCGCGCCATCTTCTTTGGCGTTCATCCCATCGGTGGGATCCCGAGCGAGCGGAGATAGGCTACCTAGCAGCCTAGGTAGGTACTTTGATAGTCAAGTCAGTCTACACAGGTACAGGTACTTCGCACTTCTTCGTACAAAGATAAAAAAAAAATCAACCGGGAGCAAGCAACGTCTCCGAGAGTGAGCGACCGACCTGATATCAACCTGGAATCAGTCCATGACAACCTTCTAAAGTTAGTTTCTCACTTCAAAATCCACCTGGGCATCCATCGATGTTCTATCGACCACCTAGCCACCTGCAAACCTTTCTTTCCTACAGCGGCAACATAAGTTACATACTTCCAGTACTTCGTATCTTCATCCTAACTCCCGACATGTCTGGTCCTACACCTGCATAGTTCGCCTGCGAAGTACCCTTACCTGACACCACTCATTCATTCACATCTGCCCCGCAACAACACCACGCGACTCCGGCTCAATGCAACCAGCCTGCGACGGCAATTCCGTTAAGTAATCCACCGTCTACCGTCCACCGTCCACTGTCCACTGCAACTCGAGTCGCCCTTTACCCCAAGGCCCACTCCGCTCCTCTGCACCGCTTCGTCTGTAGGTACCTAGACTCTGTACTTAGGTATTCTAAGTACATCCTAGGTAGTACGCAGTACAGGCTGCATCTACGCATCTACGAAGCCTGCGTTGGTCGCTTCGGTCGTTGTTGGTTGGGGGTACGAAGTAGTGCAAGTCTTTCAGCCGTGATATCATTGCTCTCTTCTTCCGCGTCTTTTACTATCTCTTCCGTTCCCAACCTGCCATTGCCACATCACACCTCGCCAAACCATATTTACACATACATACATATGGTACCTGCCTGTGACCACGGCCAACGACAATATGGAGCATGCTATGGATGATGTGAGTTGGATGACACACGGGAAAGGTACGGAAACCCCATATCTAAGCCAGCATATGAGTCTTTCTACCTCTAGCATCCGACCGCCGACTGCCGACTGCGAAAACCTGCAATCATGGCAATCCTCGACTTACACACTCACTGATCGCGTTGTTCAAATAGAGAAACCGGCCGGCTATCACAAGACACAACTACCCTCTCCTCCACCTCGAGATGTACCTCGCGCCGTCCAGTCGACAGATTCCCCGATCCCCAGTAAAGTCAATGGGAACACCGCTTTGCCGGCGACACCCCCAGCCACCGCCCCCACTACTGCATCTTCTTTGCCAGCCGCTGCCACTGCAAAGTCAATCCCTCAACGACCCGGTCGCGCAAGGAGTCAGTCGGGTGAATCTTCTCCTGGCGTGAATGGCACTCCCCCACAACGTCGCGGTTCTTGGTTCTCCAGTCTCTCGTCCAAATTCGGATCACCTGGGAACCAACCCGCTTCCCCTGCCCCGACGAATCCCCCAACACCTTCAGATAACAACGACGACGATGATGTCACCCCCTTACCCAAAATCACCGCCAACAAGAATGCCGTCCTGCCACATGCCTCGCGACAGACGGGTGATGCGCCATATGTTCCCGCGCCACCCAAGTCCGCGCAACCTGGCTTCCTTGGTGTCCTGCGTCGCTTGTCTTCCTCCAACGCGGCGACAATGCAGGGATCCAAGGTGAATCACGGCCTGGTAGATCGCAAGGTACTGAACGTCGATAGAAATAGGGAGCGGTGTCGCGTGAACGAGCTTACACAGTCCAAACTTCGCCGGGTCGCCTTTTGTGTCGATGTCGAAATTGCGCCTCAGCCCCGATACCTGGACGAAGAAGACTCAGCAAAGAAGCCCGCTGACAAGGCCCAGAAGCGGAAGGTTACTGAAAAAAGCGAAGGATTGGCACTTAAGGATCCTGCAGTCGTGACTCAGCAGAAGGAAAAGGATGGCGTTGTGAAGGAGACGGGTGGGACAGTGCCGAAGGAACCAGTGAAAGAGGGGACCGAAGCAACGAATGGCAAGGTACAAGGAAATGGCGCAAAGGCAGCAGATGCACCCAAACCTGAGAAAGAGACGACACGGAAGAAGGAAAAGAAGAAAAAGAGTGAGGCAGAACGCAAGGCCAAAAAGGAGCAGAAGAGAAAGGAGGCTCTTGAGAAAGGGGCTATTCCTATGGAGATACACCTTGACAGTGACTCCTCCACCGAAGATCTCACGGCGGAATCCGGGACGCCCAAGGCGCAATTCACCCCTACGACAAATCCCGGGAGAATATATCGCAGGTGTTGCCAACTACGTGAAACGGATATCCTGACTAAGATCACATTACAGCTGCCCAAAACTACCGATTCCTGCCGTGATGGGATCGTGGAAAAGCTGGAACTGCATGACTATTTCCTGTCTCTTCCAGATCTGGCTACCCTGGGAGACTTCTTGGCTGTAGTCCCCGTGAAGGAAGTCATTCTTGAAAACTGCGGGCTGACTGACGAGGGGGTGCGTATGGTCTTGGCAGGCCTGCTCGCAGCCAGGAGACCATCTGCCAGATTACGGAAACCTGTCACCAGACCAGCCGATCTCACACCTTCAGGTGGTGTTATCGAGAGGCTCGTTCTGAAGAACAACAAGATAGGGAATGAAGGATGGAAACACATATGCCTTTTCATCCATATGTGCCGCTCTATCAAGTCCCTTGACCTTTCGAGCTTGCCATTCCCTGCCGCGACAGAACAACCTAAGACACCGCTCAATCATCACTTCCACCATCATCACCATCACCAACATGCCGGAAACAGTCCGCTCTCTTCCATGGACATGGCAGCACTACTGTCCAAGTCTATTGGTGACAGACTAGCAGGCTCAGAGCTGGAGTTACTCAACATGGGTGCTACTGGCCTGACCACAAACCAGCTTGGAGTGATTATTGATGGTGTCACCAAGTCAGGTGTTTGCCGACTTGGACTCTCACACAACAACCTTGACCCGAAAGGTGTCCAGCATGTTGCCAGTTACCTGAGCAATACGAAATGTGAAGGCATTGATCTCAGCGGTAACGATCTTCGAGACCATCTGGGGGTAATTGCTGATGCTATGGATGAGAATGATGAGCTCTGGGCACTGAGCTTGGCCGACTGTAACCTCAAGCCAGGTTCTCTGTGCAAGCTTTTCGCAAAATTGGTCAAGCTGCCCAACTTTAGATTCCTCGACCTCTCACATAATCACGACCTCTTTGGAACCGATCCTGATGCTCTTTCGGTCCTGCGCAGGTAAGCTAGCATAAAACCAACCTCGGATTGCTCTCGGTGTGCTAACCTCCTTCTACAGATATCTGCCCCAGATGGAAAACTTGAAGAGATTACATCTCAGCGATGTGTCTATGGCTTCCGAGCAGGCCATTGCGCTTGCCGACATCTTGCCTGAAACCCTCGCCCATATCAATCTACTTGACAATCCGATTCTTTCTGCTTTGGCAGACGCGAAGACGGAAGAAACCCAGGAAGAGGCTTGCGCTCTATATGCCTCCCTATTGGCAGCTGCTAGGGTATCCAAGGCCCTCGTCAAGGTCGATATCGAGAACCCAAGCGCCAACTCGGGAGAAGTCATCAAGGCATTAGCAAACCGTATGCTTGCCTTCTGCATGCGAAACTTGCAGGGCGTTCCGGATATACGTGACTCGACATCTGGGGAACCTGGACCTCAAATCGACAAGTTTCCAGACGTACTTCGCCATCTGGTTGGTTATGAGGAGGACTTTCCATCTGAAGATGCCAATGATACCGACGAGCCAGCACCGGACGAGGACTACGTCATTGGCGGTACCGGCGTTGTCAAGGCTCTGGCTTGCGTACTGAAGAACCGAGGTGATGACTCGAGTCGACGATCGGGCGAGTTCACAAGAGACATCGAGAATGGAACAGTACCACCCAGAGCGCACTTACCCTCTGGAAAGGCGAAGGATATGTCAAAGGCTCTGCTTGCAAGTGCGCGCAAGATTCGTTTACGCCTGCAGCCGGCCTTGACTCAAGCCAAGGCTAATCCT